CGGGCGGGCAGCGCCGGATCGTCTTCCCGCGCCGTCCGGCTCGCTCCGGGCGTGCGGGGCGCGCTGCCTGGGGCCGGCCAGCCCCGAGCGGATCCTCTCGCCCCGCTTTCTCCGGTGCGTGTCTGTTTTACTTTCCGCCGTAGCCGACAGGGCGCAGCGCCCGCGGGCGGGTGTGGAGAGCCCGGCTCGCCGCGGGCTCCCTCCCTTCCCGCCACCTCAGGCCACCCCGCCCGGCGCTGGCGCGGGGCCGGAGGGAGTCCGCGGCGGGCGCCCGGCGGGGGCGGAGGGGCCGCGCCCGCGTGTGCGGAGCGAGGGAGGGCCGGAGGAAGGAGGGAAGGGCACAAAGGCCGGCGGCGGGCGCCGGGGTCCGGCCGGCCGGCCGTGGAGGAGGGGCGCCTCGCGTCCGCTCATGAATATTAACCGAGCCTGCGGCCTAGCGCGTCCCGGCCGGGCCCGGCGCCCGGCCCGCGTCCCCGCTCCTGCTCGCCGCCGCGCCGCGCAAGCTGGGCCAGGCGGGCTGGGAAGGGTAAGCCCTCCGTTTTTTTTGTTTTTGTTTTTTTTTTTGTTTGTTTGCTTGTTTGTTTTTTTGTCTTTCCCCCGGGTCTCCCGACACCTTTTTAAAAGTACATATTTGGGCCGCCCTTCCCGGGAGATCGAGATCACCGACCCGCCTCTGGAAGGGGCGGAGGAAATCGTGGTAGGTGGGTGGTGGTTTTCTTTTTCCTCTTTTTTTTTTTTTTTTTTTTCTTTCCTCTTCCCTAGGTGGCCCCAGGGAAAGGGAAAGATAGCGTCGAATGGTAGTTTGGGGAGAAGCAAGTAAATAAAAGTTGCCCGGGCTGCGGCTTCGTTTCTGTCGCTCCGGAATAATGTCCCTGAGACGGAGCTGCTCCCGAGTCCCACCCGCGGCCGTGCACACCTCCCCACCCAGCCCCGCCTCGGGCCAAGCAAAACAGCCGCCTCCTCCGGGGCAGCCTCGGGGCGCGGGGGCGCCGGGTGCGGGCGCCCAGACTCCCCCGGCTCGCCTGCAAACGCCGGCCGAGCCAGCGGTGCCGGCCTCCGAGGCTGGCTTTTTGTTTTTATTTTTTTGGGGGTGGTGGAGAGGAGCGAGCAGGGGTTTTGAAAAGTATTATTCCATTTCCATCTCGTGGGGAGAAAACTTCCGCTACGCCTAAGTGTCTGGGTGATGCCGGACAGCGTAGACACTCTCTCTTGTGCCCAGAAAACACACTGATGAAAATGCACTTGGAGAAAAGGGAAATTCTTTCTTGAAGGCTGCACACCAACCAGGCGTGTTTGACGCAACCACCGTGCAGTTCTGAGGCTTCCCTCTCTCTCTCTCTCTCTTTTTCCTGATTTATAGGAAATCAGGACAATTTTCTCTAGGAGGATTATTTCCTCTTTCGTGCATGAGGTCCATCAGCGTGGACCGAATAATCTTTCCAAGTGGTGGAAAGGCGAACCTGGTGTAGACATGTGGCAAGGCTAAGGTCAGCGTCTGGAGAAAGTTCATGCCCTTGTAACCATTCCCTGTTCCAGGAGAGATCTCTCGGGGAGCTGACGTTCCAGCCTTCGAGACCCACTCGGATTCCTCCTGGCCTGGGAGTCACGCCGAGGAGGAGGGGGACCGCGGTCTGCAGTTGGCCTCGTTAGCTGCCGAGAAGACCCATCGTCTTTGTTTTTCAAGTCTTGAGAAATGGACGAAGACGGTGAAGTCAGTTGAAGTCCGGAGAAATAAATCATCGGGGCGTTTTGAAGGGGCTTCATCAAAACATTTCATTCCCTGGCACGTTACTTGTTTCACCAGCCCTGCATCTCCCGGGAGCCTGGTGTGGAATTCTTCCCTTTTTGGTGTGTGGTAGCGTTCCTCCCCCCAATGTGGACTCCAAAGGGTCGGTCCCTTCTTTGTCATTTGAAATGAAATGATGGCCACACGTCGGACTGGGCTACCGGAGGGAGATGGTGACAAGCTCAAGGCCTGTGGGTCCCCCACGTGTGAGGTAAGTGCAGAGGCAGCATCTTGGGCCACTGGCCGAGGGGTGTCCTGCTGGCTGGGGGGGGGGGGGGTCAGCTGACAGGCTTTGGGCCCTTTTGGACTGGTTTGTGGGAACGCCCCCGCTCGACCCTAGGGCGGTGCAGCCTTGCCCATTTTTGTTTCCAGGAACTTCCAGCGATTCTTCTGCAAGAAGGGGTTCCTCATTTTGAAATGCCCATCATGCCCCATCACCTCAGACTTGGAAATTCTGCCCTTGCAGGTGGCCGGGAATACTTGGACGGGTGTCTTTTCCTTCAGTCCCCGTCCTGCAGCAGTTTTGGAGCTGGGCTGCTTACGGGGTGCCTTTGTGCATTTTCGAGTGTCCGTAGCCAAGATTTGCCCTCAGAGGTGGAGCGAGGGGAGCTGGTGACGCTTGTTGCCACGGGACCTCAGTCTCACTTTGGCTTTGGTGGGTATTCTGGCTTGCCGTTGGCGTGGACCTCTGTTCCGGGTAGAAAAACAGGTCTTTCCCCATGGACAGTTTAAGCACAGCCTTGGAAAAAAAAAGATTTATAGAGTTGTAACTCCAACTCCCTGAAAAATCTGCCTTTGCTGTCCTTTTATTTATGCCTGCCTTTCACCGCTCAGAAGTGCTGTGAGCCGCCCCGGGGGGTCAGGTGGCTTGCATCGCCTTTAGCCCATCGTCTCTGGGAGGGCTCAGAAGATTCTGTGGCAGGCTTCCTGAAATTTTTTGGAGCAGGCAGGACAGAAATCAGAAAATCCGTTGATTTATTACACCCATGCACCCCGTTGCCTCTCGTATTCTTTTTTTCTCTTCATGTTTGGAGTTCTGTAATGACTATATTGTGTTTACTTGGTTATTGGGGATTTCTGTAATTTGCTTGCTAAATGTGCTGAATTTTAAACTTTACTTTTGAGCCGTCTCTATTTTTATTGACAGATGGGATAGATAACAGTAACATCCCCCAAAGAGCCTTTGCTCTCATTCTGTCATTTGTGCTTTGCAAGTGTTAAATTTTAACTTTACAGCCACGGGTTCTAGTTCTGAGTGTGTGAGTTTTGGCATTTTAGTAAAAATGAATCAGGTTAAATTTTTGTGTTTAAAGCATGCAGAACAACTTGCTTCATGTATCTGACTTCATATTGGATTAGAAAGTTTATGCAGAAAATACAGGGAGGTAGGCACAGTATGCCATTACTGTACAACTTTTTAGAACTGTAGGTTTGCAGTTAGAACCAGTGTTTTACTTTTTGACACCTGTAAACACCTGCTTGCAGGTAAAATGTGATTAAGTATAACACCACAATCCTCTGATCATGGTAAACCATAATAACTCCTTTTGGAAGGCCTCCCTACAACTTTGGTGATTGCTTAATGTGTATTGTAGTTACATAATAATATGTGCTGTGGTCCCAAAGCCTTATTTGTCATTGTCTTGTGAATACTTTAATTAGCATGCTATTTGCATTATATTTGCAAGAACTAATGTTATTTGATTTCTTTTTTTTTTTTTTTTTGGTCAGTTAAGGGTTGTCCTGAAACCAAGAATTTCTAATAGACACATCTTGTCCTTGGCTAGAAAGCAATGTTTCCAGTTGCAAACTTGGCTTATATTAACACTGACAGTTATGTATTTTTTTAAGGACTGTGAAATTTGTTTTCATTTGGATGTTACTGCTGGGATGGCCACATTATTTCTAGTTTGGGAAACAAGAAAACATTACATTGCCTGTATTTTGCTCATTTAAAGGTTATACACAGAACTTGAGTTTGGTGTTAAGCTATAATATTGTTTTTAAAGAATAGGTATATAGCTTACATTCTATGCGAAATAGAAATAAAGGGACTATATGCTATCAGACAGCATCTTAAAATCTGAGGGTAAGGAGTAATTATTGCCTGTTTCGGTGTTGTGTATTTAGCTCTCATTGATACTTCTGAAGCATGTTAAATCTTGTATTTATTAGTAATAAAATGAGACTTGCCACTGGAATACTTTGGGTTGATGATAGATAATTTAAGTCTTTGACACTGCAGTTAATTTTGTGTTTAATTTTATTAGAAGTATTACATTCTGAAGTAATACTGTCATTCTTTAAAAAATTTTAGAAACCAATAGCTATGTTCCTAAATGTGTGTTTGAATAGTAAATTGGTATGTGTTTTAACCTAAAAAGAGATGAGCATATATGTCTTAATATCGATGCTGTTAATCATCCAAGAAACTTAACTGTGCAGGACAGAAGAAATCGATGCAGTGAATTAATAGAAATCTCTGATTCAGGATTTATCTAATTAGCTAACTCCACTTTTTATAGATAAGGTCTATTGCTTTGTTGGAAAACATTCAGAAACTTCTTGTTCATCTTCTGTATTAGAATCTAATTGTGTTGATACATGAATAAATGTAAGCACCACTCCCCAAGAATATATCGGAAGGTTAAAAACCAAACAAATAACAGTCCTCTTCAAATAATGAATTGTGACAATTTCGTAGAATGTATTTAAGGATTCTGCGGTAAGGATAGCACAGTTCTCTTCATACAGAATTAAATACTTTAGATATCTGAAAATATGGTTTCCTGCACTCTGAGCCGGCTAAGTGTGCTTTGGGGTGTGTGTGTGTGTGTGTGTGTGTGTGTGTGTGTGTGTGTGTACAGCCTCATCTGTGAAGTGTTCTGACAGCCAGCCTGGAGGAGCTTTGCTTACAGAATCACTTAGTTTAGATTTGGTGATCTGATCACCCCTTTCATACCCTATAGAGCTCATCCTTTAGGGTCCAACTTGCTTTTTTTTTTTTTTTTTTTTTTTTAACCAATTCGAAAAAATTTTTTTTACATCTTTTTTGTGCGAGTTTTTTTTTTTTTTTTTTTTTTTTTTTTTTTAAACCAAAGGCAAAAACTTTTTCCTCAGCTTTTTAGAGCACGTTATTTTTCCTATTTCTCATATTTATTTCACTCTGTCTGTAGGCCCTCGTGTTACCCAGTGATAGAATTTTTAGCACTTTTCACTGCCTGTTATCAAGACAGGCTTATTTACTAATGCTAATTAATTTCTTTCATTTTATGACGTGCTTCTTCATCCAGCCTGAGATTATCCTGTGACTGCAGTGTACCCTAGCTGATGAAAGACAATGGTTGGTTGATTTTGGAATGGTGTAAATGATACAGGAAGGCATTTTCCTGTGTATGAACTCACGAGAGTTCATCCTTTTGCTGTTCTTTCTGGAATACCTGTGCACTTTGCTTCAATCCCAGACCCCCTCGTTCCTTCTCGGGTGCTCTCCTGTTCTCTGTCTCTGTCCCTTCCTCCCTCCATTTCTTCTTCCTCTGCTGCCCCTTTCATGTTGGCTTTACCTAGAGCCAGGCTCTTGCCATTCCTCTACTCCTCTCTTTTCTCCCTGGGTTTCATTTTACACTCTCCCATGGCTTTATTCTGCATGCTGGTGATTCTAAACTTACAGCTCAATCCCAGGTCTCATAGTTGATCTTTAGACCTATGGAACCTTTTGCCTCTTTACCAAACAGTTTTTTTTTTTTTGAATCCGAAAAAATGCCCAAAGGCATTTCAAATTTAACAAATTCGACTCCTCTTGCTGAGTTCCTTCTTTCTGTGAGTAGCAACGCCACCTCCTTATCTGTCCCCATCAAAGACCGGGTTAGCACCCTTGACCCTTCTCTCTCCCCATTGCTCCTATCCAAAGTCCTGTGGAGTCTGCATTCCAAATCCCACCGCCACTACCCGAGTTCAGGTCAGCGGCTTCTCACTTCTGAACTCCTCTCCCGGTTGCCCAGCCTTGTCATCAGCCAACGCTCTGCCCGTGCAGTCGTCAGAGTGCTCCTCCTCAACGTTCCCCTGTAGAAAACAGTTTTCTGGCCTCCCACTGCCTTTGGAAGAAAGGCACCTGTCCTCCCCTTCTCCTGTCATATGTCACCTCTTCCTACACTTCAGTACTGAACTGCTGTCAGGTCCGCTGGGGCAACACAAGTCTCTCCGCTTTGGGCTCTCACAAATGCTGTTTTCTTTCACCCTTTCCTCCAGCTCCCCCTCCTCCACCTGCCACCCCTCCATGCCTGATTTTGACTCATCATTCTGGTCTTTTCTTCAATTTCACTTCATCAGGAAAGCCTTTCCTGATCCTCCCAGGCTGGATTAGTGGCCCCCAGTGCGATATCCCCCCAAAACCCTGTACTTTCTCAGGAATAGTCCTTACGTGTTTATCTCTATTCCCCCCTGGACTGCAACCCCCATAGGAGCAGGTGCCATGTTTGTTTCTACTGTGTCTGGCTCATAGTAGGTGCTTAATAAATATTGTGGAATTAATGAATGAATACATGGGAAAGGCTTTAATTTTTATTCAGAGTTCACTTAGATTCCAGTGTATTGTACTGTCTTGATGATCTACCTGCCTCACTGATCCCTCCTTCTCAGTCCCTGAAGTTTCCTCAACTTTCTGGCCTGCTAAATCTTCATATACAGCAGGGCTCAGTTTGGCCCTCTTTTCTTCTCTCTGTGCTCAGTTTTATGGTTTTACTTATTATTAAAAGTGTTTTTTTTTAAGTTTATTTATTGATTTTGAGAGAGAGAGAGAGAGACAGCGCGAGTGGGGGAGGGGCATAGAGAGAGGGAGAGAGAATCCCAAGCATCAGACTCAAACCGTGAAACCATGAGATCATGACCTGAGCTGAAACCAAGAGTCAGACGTTTAACAGATTGAATCACCCAGGTGCCCCTGTTTTATGATTTTAAATATCAAGTGGGGTTCCATGGTGTGATGGTTAGCACTTTGGTTTTAAGTATCAAGTATATACTGATAATTCATATATACACCTATGAGTGTGTGTGTGTGTGTGTGTGTGTGTCTCCACCCCTGTTTGAATT